GAACCCACAAGTCACTCCGTGGGAGCAAAATGGGGCATCTTGCTTCCATAAAGCTTCCCAATGTGGGACACTCCCTAGGAGGTGTCCAGCCTAGCCCTGTCCTATGAGCCTGCTGTGAGCGGCAGAGTCTGTGTGTCGGAATCGATTTGACCGCAGTGGGCTATCATATGTAAGCTGTTTGGGTCATGCCTCCGCCTAGCATTTCGGAGCATCCTGTTCATGTAGTTGCACACATTAACAATGTGTTCTTTTTCTTGCTGAGGAGTAGTCTAGTGTAAGGATTTATAAGCATTTGTTTAGCCATTCATGAGTCAGTGGGAATTTGAGCTATCTTTTTTTTTAAAAAAAAAAAATCTTAAAAAGTTGCCACGAGCATTTGAATATGAGCTTTGTGTGAAGACGTTTCCATTTCTTTTGTTGTTGAACATATGCACAGCAGAACAACCAATAATCCTGCCTCAGTCATGTCCAAGTCGGTGACACTGGTTACATTCTTCAAGTTGTGCAGCCATTCTTGTCCTCTTTTCTTGAGCCATTCCTTCCCCAATAACATAGACTCACTGCCCCCTAAAGTGCCTATGGAATATTTCAGGTTGTTGTTGGGTTGCCACTTCTCTGGGGTAAATCCCCAGGGGGGGACTGCTGAGTCATATGTTAAGTGTGTGTTTAACTTGAAAGTCACTGTCCAGCTGTTTTCCAGAGTAGCTGTAGCATTTTGCTGAGGCTACTTTTTAAGTCAAGGGTGGAGTGCAGAGGAGGAAGACAGAACCGTTTGGGGTTCTCCTAGAAGCAGAAGTTAGTCCTCAGCAGTCACGAGTTTATTCTTCACAAGCTTATGAAGTCGACACCAACATCCCCATCTCACAGATGAGGAAATCAAGACGTGGGTGGATAGTAATATGCCCATTTCCCAGATGAGGAAGTCAAGGCTTGGAGAGATGTACTTGCCCAAAGTTACACATTTAACAAATGGAGGGGCTAGGATTTGAACGCAGGCTTTGGGCCAATGCCGAGAGGCTTACTCATCAGTCCTTTGCGACACTGCACAACATCTTCCTCTCTCTCATTCACACATTCACACACACGCAGACACGCACGCACGCACGCGCCCTCCCAGCCCAAGGTTCCTGGATGACAGGGAAGGGCAGCAGCTTGTGGGACACACAGCTCCTTCTTTATCACCCTCCCCAGGCAGGACGGCCAGCACTCATTCCCTCGAAGCTCTTAATGAACCCAGTTCTTTCCTTCCTTCAACCCTTTCCACACGTTGTTGCTTCCTCATCAAATGGATAAATTCCTGGAAAGATAGCGAGTAGCTCAAGTTCCCGGGCTAAGCTGAAGGCGAAGCGCCCTCCTTTGTAGCCACCATGGACAAACGAGGCCTTCTCTTCATACCCATTATCATCATTTACTTACATGTCCCTCTTCTGATTGTGTACTTCTTTACATTGTGGTCTTCTTTTGTATTGCATTTCAAAAAGCACTCAACAAATGCTTCTTTATTGCATGCTCTGCATGCCAGAGGAGCTACTGAGTAACTCTGGCTTTCCATGTCTTTTGCCCATTTTGTAATTTGGTTATCAGTCTTTTCCTTGTGGAGGCCCAGGAGTATTCTGTAAACTTTTGTTACAAGACTCTTCGCTGAGATGGTGTTACCAAATGTTTGTTCCCAGTCTATAGGGTTTTTTTCCACCCTGTTATGGTTGATATCATCTCATAATTCATCTGGTCTTCAATCATTGTTGTTCAGTTCCTCAAATCTTAAGATTATCTTGAAATTCAGATGGAATTGATTCAAATTCCCAAATCCCATTGCCCTTAAGTGGATTCTAACTCACAGTGACCTGTCCTGCTTCATGGTGCTTTAGGAAAACGACCGCCATATCTTTCTTCCAAGGACAATTTTTCGCCAGCCTAGTGCTTAGCCACTGTACCACCAAGAGGTCCTGAAAGTCTGGAATAGTACTCGGCTAGGAGTGTGCCATGGAGTAGGTTCTGAATCATGGAGACCTTTGGTTAGGTCATGTTAAAGTAATCCTATTTACAGTTATTTACCCAAGCAGTTATCCATAATTATTATGCAAGTATAAAGAATGTTAAAGGAGCTCTGGTGGTGTAGTATGAACATGCCAGGCTGTTTACCAAAAGGTCAGTAGTTCAAATCCACCCACAGCTCAGGGGAGAAAGATGGTAAATCACATTTCATAAAGGTTTTCAGCCTTGGCAAACAGATGGGGAGCTGACGATGAATAAAAATCAACTCAATGGCCATCGGATTGGGTTGTTGTTGTTGTTATGTGCCATCAAGTTGCTTGCAACTCATAGCGACCCTATGTACAACAGCCCTAAACTCCGCTCTGTCCTGGGCCAATCACACTGTCTCTGACACTCCCATCCCGATTACCCCAGTCACTGAATCAATCCACCTCATAGAGGGTCTTCCCCTCCTGCGCTGTCCCTCCACCCTACCAAGCATGATGTCCCTCTCCAAGGACCTGTCTCTCCTTACAACATGTCCAAAGTATGTTAGATGGAGCCTCAGAATCCTTGCCTCCAAGGAGCAACCCAGTTTAACCCTCTTCAGGATGAATCTGTTTGTTTTCTTAGCAGTCCATGAAGAGTCTATACTCTTCTCCAGCACCACAGCTCAAAGGCATCAATTCTCCTTCTATCCTCCTTAGTCATTGTCCAACTCTATGATGCATAACAAGTGGTAGCAGGGGAGCTCTGGTGGCCTAGTGGCAAGAAGCTGCACTGCAATCCCAGAGGTGCACGGTTCAAATCCACCAGATGCTCTGCCGGGAAAGGAGGGACAATCTCCTCCTGTTCCAGTCAGATCCGATTTGACGGTACACACACACACACACACACACACACACACACACACACTAATTTAAAAAATTTAAAAAATAAAACCCCAAAAAATAAGTGGTAGCAAAGACCATGGCCTGTATCAGAAGCACCTTAGTCTCCAGAGAGATACCATTGCTCTTCAGTACTTTGGAAAGGTCCCTAACAGCAGACTTTCCCATGGCAATATGTCTTTTCATTTCCTGGCTACTGGTGCCAAGAGTGTTGACTGTGGAGCCAAGCAAACTAAAGCTGTGAACAATCTCAATCTCTTCAACATCCATCCAGATGTTGCCAACTGGTCCACTGGTGAGAGTCTTGTCTTCTTGACATTGAGTCTCAATCCATATTGAAGGCTGCCGTCCTTGACCCTCTGCAGCAAACGCTTCAGGTCCTCCTCAGTTTCGGCAAGCAGGGTTGTGTCATCTGCATAACGCATATTGTTAATAGATCTTTCACCAATCCTGACCCCACACTTCTCCTCATAGAGCCCAACCTCACGGATAATCTGTTCTGCATACAGGTTGAAAAGGTATGGAGACAGGACACATCCCTGGTGTATGCCCTTCCCAATTTTGAACCATGCAGTGTTTCCTTGCTCTGTTCTGACAACTGGCTCTTGGTCCAAGTATAGGTTTTGCATTAGCATGATCAAGTGTTCTGGTATTCCCATTCTTCTCAGAGTCAGCCCCAGTTTGTTATGATCCACACAGTCAAACGCCTTTGCATAGTCAATGAAACACAGATAGATATTCCTTTGGTATTCCCTGCTTTCAGCTAAGATCCATCTAACATTAGCTACAATATTCCCAGTACCACGACCCCTTCTAAACCCAGCCTGGACTTCTGGCAGTTCTCTGCTGATGTGCTATTCCATTCGTTTTTGGACAATCTTCAGTAGAATTTTGCTTGCATGTGAAATCAATGATATTGGTCTATAGTTTCCACACTCAGTTGGGTCACCCTTCTTTGGGATGGGAACAAATATAGATCTCTTCCAGTCAGTTGGCCAAGTGGTTGTTCTCCAGATTTCTTGACACAACTTAGTGAGGACGTCCATGGCAGCATCTGTTAGCTGAAATATGTCAATTGGTATACCATCTATTCCTGTGGCCTTATTTTTTTTTACCATTTTCTTCAAAGCAGCCTGAACTTCTTCCTTCATCACCATAGGCTCTTGCTCATCGGATTGGGTATTAAGGAATATTATATATTATTCTTTGTGTCAGCTTAAATTTATTTATTTTACTTGATTACACAGTTTCTTATCTCTTCATTTTAAATTTCCCTTTCTTTTTATTGTATTTACAGTCACTGCCTGATACGTCAACAGGTAGAAGGAATCCTAATGTTCCTTTTCGCTAAGTCTTCTCTGTTAGAAAGGCGCTTCCACAATTTAAGAGACACCTTAGTTATTAGGTTCTGCACCTAACTTTCAGTGACATTTCTTTCTCTTAGCATAGTCTAACTTCATGCAGTCAACTCTAGAGAGCCAATAATAGCCCAATTTGGCAACGTCCAAGGAAGTTTCTGCAAGAGAACTCTGGATTTCCCCTTTACTGGAGAAAACAGTGAGACCCAGTTAATAGTCCCGGGACTACGCTTCCCAGCGGCCTCTATTCCACGAGGACTCCCGACTTCCTTACAAGGGTGGCCCCGAGCTTTTCGGCCTTGCCCATTCCCAGCCATCCTCACAGTCCCTGCCGGTTTGAGTCCAGTGTTACAGCCATTGCGTGCTTCTCATTGTGAGTCTCCGTCTTTTTCCGCTGTCCCTCTCCTTTATCAGGTTGCTAAGAATCAGAGCCTATTGAGTGTCATCTCACAACAACATTGTTGGGACCATAGTGTAAACCACAACTCCCAGCAGCCTCCGCGCGTAGGACCCTCTACAGAGGGTTTCCCAGCAGCCTCCGGATCTTTCTCTTCAGCCTATCACAGGAGGATGTCGCGCAGGCCGGCAGGGGCGGAGGGCACCGCCCCTCGGAGCGTCTTCCCAGGCCCGCCTGGGACACGCCTTCGCCCGCGCCCTTCCCTGTCACGTGATTCATCTTGTCCAACCAGTGCGTGGGGGAGGGCGGCAGGCCATGGCCGGAGGCGGGGAAGCCACAGGGGGCGGGCCTCGGAGGGGGTGGAACCGGAGCCGGGAGGGGGCGGAGCGGGGTCCCGGGAGCCGAGCAGCCTGGCAACGGCGGTGGCAGCCGGAGCCGGAGGTGGGTTCGCGTTTGCGGCTGGCCTGGCTCCGAGCCGGGCGCTGCGGGGACCCGTGGGGGGGCCGGGAGGAGGAGGTCGGACTCCTGGGGCTGGCAAGTTCCGCGCGGCCTCCGCCACCAGCGGGTTCGCCCGAGCGCCCTGGACGACCCGGTGGGGCAGGACTGAGGCCGGGGAGGCACAGGCAGGTGCCTCCGGCTTCTCGGCTCTCCCCGCCCAGGGCCCGGGCCGGCGGCGGGCGAAGGTCGGACCTGAGTCTGTGCCTGCGGGCCGGGGGCGGGGGCGTTGCCCGGCCGGAATGCGCTTCCCGGACGGGTCGCCTTGCCTCCCCGGTGACGCTCGGTGGCTGGTCCTCACCCTGCGAGGGCGGGCGGGCGCCGCATCCTCCGTGGGCCAGGCCCGCCTGGCACTTGCCGCGGAGCCTCGGTCATCGCCCTCGGACAGAGTTTCTGGGTCACGCACGGGAGGTTTATCTGCTTTTGCAACAGTTGAGGAAAGATTAAAGAGGGGACGGTTAGTTCCCTGATAGTCGGAAGTGTGCACAAGAGCGAGCAAGCGCCCTGTGCCGGGTTGCCTCCCTTAACTGTCTTGCTGTGCACAGGAAGTGCAAACTAATTTTAGTATTTGCCTAAGTAAAAGCGGGGTCAGTCTGCCGCAGACAGTGTATTGTGGACTTTATAGAGCGTGTCCAACGTAGCGGCCAATGTGGGTTGTGACTGGTTTTTAAGCAGACTTGCTAGCCCCTTGCGCGAATGGAAAATCAGCATGTTAGACTGGGACCTCGGAGTTTCCATTTTTTACCCAGAGAGGGTAACTTATATGGCCCACATTTGTGAGCACTTAATGGCAAAGCTAATCTCATGAGCCAGGTTTCTGAGGTGTCTTTGCATCTGTGGGGTTTGGATTTTTCTGATCATCACTCACCTTATTTCCTTCTGAAGTCTCCACCTAGAGTCTTCAGACTTGGAAGGCTTAAGCCATTTTGGATTTCCAGTTTGCCAATAAGTTAGACAATCAGACTTGATACTTTAGAGATACAGTTTCTCTGTGTTACACCTGATCACACTTCCACCAGCTCTGCCTTTGAACGACTTTTGCCAATTCACAAAATCCAGTCCATCCTGAGGAGAGCCCACCTCATCAGGGACAACACTCAAGCCAGCACCCCACCTGCAGGCCATTGTTGGATGATGGCCTTTAGGCCTGATGGATTCTCTGACAGTTATTAAACAGCTGATCTCCTTACCTTCAAGTTCAATCGTATATTTATCAGGTTGTCAGCAATTTAATTTATCATTAATCATAGGCATTTCCACCCTGTGCTGGAAAGGTTCTAAACCCGCAGATGCAAGCCCTGCCTTCTGGAGCTTGGGTGTAGGACTGAAGGCAGTAAACACATAAACAGTGATAGAGTGGAGTAAGTAGAGTACTATGAAGGAAAACTAAGGTCCAAAGCGCTTAGATGATGCTATGGCAGGTGGGCGTGATTTACAGTGACTGGGTGTTCAATTACAGTGAGTGTGCAAAGGCAGCCTCTCTGAGACATTCTAGAGTCGTCTTTCCACCCCTGACCTCTTGGTGGTCAATTTATCACAGCGCTAGTTTCACAATGCTCCCACATTTCATACTAACAGTACACAGGTTTTCAAACTCTCGGAGAGGTGGTCTTCAAATCCCTTGCTGTCTGTTAGCTATTTTTTAATCTCTAGCTAGTGGAGGCGGTGTTGACATCAGTGTTGATGGTTGATTTCATGCCACTGTCTCCTGCGTTCACAGGCTTCCCCATAGTCGAGATTTTCTTCCTTGTCCTCAGAATCTATGATCTGACTAATCATCAGTCTTGGTGTTGTGTGTTTGGTCTGTAAAGGAACTAGTTCAATTGGACATTAATTCTAGAGTGCAGAAACACCTTCCTAAGAACAGGCAACCTCATATGATGGCATTAATAATATCAACATCATTAATACCTGACGTTCTCTTCTATGCTCTATGTTCAAAGACTTCAGAAAGACTTTACAAGTTCTGTAAAATGAAAGTTATGAAAAAGAACACAATGTTCTTTGGTTCTAAAGGAAAGGAGGATTTGTAAACTTGAGGTGCTCTTGCTCGTATTGGAAAAAGCGGAGCCTCTTCAAGGCCTGGGAGGTGACAATTTAAACAGCTGGGCGAGGGTGGCAGACACCAGAGTGTCTGGTTGTTCCTAAAGTCCATTCGATTTCATAGCAGAATAATAGATTGCTATTATTGGTCTTCAGTAATTTCTCTTCCTTGTTTCTGACCTCTCTCAAGTTCTGCTTTCTTTATTTTCTAGTTTCTCAGTTCATAATTCTTTTATGGCAGAGAGGGAGTCATTGGAGTCGGGCTCTTGACCACAAAGTGCTATTGACTCTGGGTTGGGCAGCGCACCTGGATTTGAATCCTGATTCTGATATGGCCTTTGTAACCTTGGGCAAGATACTCTGAGCCTCAGTTTCCCCTAACTGTAAAATAAACATGCCTTCATCATAGGGTCATTGAGAAGATTGAGTGGATAACCCAGGATAAGTGTTTAAAACAGTACAAGAAAAGGTAACTGTTATTGACTTGTATTATGTGTACTTTTCCTTTAAAGAAAAAAAAATTAGCCTACCTGGGTCCCATTGAACGTTAGAAATGCAGAGCTTGGTTTCTGAAGCACTTCTCTGCATTTCAGCCTGGAAGTGATATCTCAGGGACGTTGGCAGCAGTGCCCCCTGTTCTTCGGTGCTGAAGCCCCTTACCATTTGGGCTCTGAAATCACTTGAGGCAGGTTTTGGTTTTGCTACCAGCACCAGCAAGAGAGCCTTCCTTTGATTCCTCTGCTTTGAAAGTATGTTTTGTAGCTAGAGGTGCTTGTAGCATACCTTTCCCCCATGAGGGACCCTCCTTTCCGTTAAGAACATGGCAGCATTACTTTAGGAAATTAGCATCTTGCACTGGTGCTTGCTTTTCGTTTCTGACGGGAATGATTAGTTGAAAAGAGGCTATTTGTTTGTTATTTGACTCCCTGCACTTGGATTCTGGGAGCCAGGTTCCAGTCCCACTTCTGCCTTTGTTAACTTGATGACACTGACAAAGTCATTTTCTCACTGCTGGGAGCATTTGTAAGAGAGCTAATCCAGCTTCCAAGAAGTCATGAGAGAATTGAATGATACTTGTGCATCAGAGGCTTTGTGAATTGTGAGGCGTTACTATTACTGCTTTCATGTGTTATGTAAGCCGTCACTGTTTGGAGCACTAGTGTAAGAGGAGGACAGTCATCCTCTCCCCTCCTGGCCCGTCTCCCCTGGAGCGTCCCTCACCTTCTCCTGTCACCACTGAGATATGCAGGCAGCTCTTAAGTGGATGAGAAGCCATTTGACCACCTTCGGAGTTTCCATTCTCTTTATCCCCAAAAAGCAAGTACTGGGCATCTGGAAGTCACAGGGGAGAGAAGGATGTTCCTTGGGCCAGGAAGGATTGCCTGGCGGCTTGTTGTTGGTCTGGTTGTTTCTCACAATCTCTCAGAATGGATGCCTTCACTTTTCCAGAACTAGACAGCACCTCCGCTCTTTGGCACACTCTCCTTCAGGCTGCGCTGGGCTACTGGGTGCTTGTACTCCTGCAGTTAGGACAGATGCAGGCTGCTTCGGGGCTGGACTACTCTCCAGCTCCATGCCATCTCCTTGTTCAAACAGGATGGATGCCTGGTGCCCTGTTCTTGGCACTCAGCTCTTGCAATGACTCCTTAAATAGCTCTTAGAAATTCCCTGCACTGGTACTAGTTTAGTGTTGCCATTCCTTGACTCTTGATTGTGATGGAGATTATTTTTTTCAAGTTTATAAATCTATTTTTTATTTCTTTTTAGTTTTTTATTGAGATTTCAATAAAAGTTTACCGAGAGCTTGGATTTCCATTCATTCATTGTTGCATATTTTCCTCCCCCCCCCCCCCCTCAATCCACTTTACTATGCACCTCTTATTCTGGACTGTTGCCATGCAAATAATACCTAATCATATATTCCTTTTAAAGAGTTCTTTCCCTCATCTGTTTCAATATACATTATTTACTCCTTCTTTTCTTAGTTCCCCTCAACCCCCAAGTCAGTCCTGTTTTATAATAGTGGCATTATGAAGTATTTGGCCAGTTGTGACTGAGATATTTCACTCTGCATAATGTCCTCCAGGGTCAACCATTTTGTAAAAAAACGTTATGAGTTTCTTGTTTTTCAGTGCTGCATAGTATTCTGTTGTGTGACTATACCACAGCTTCTCTATGTGTTCATTTGTTGATGGGAACTTGGGTTGTTTCCAACTCCTTGCTATTGTGAACAAAGCCGCGATAAACATGGGTGTGCATATATCTGCTTGGGTGGCAGTTCTGGTATATTCCTAGTACTGGAATTGCTGGGTCCAATGGTATTTCTATTTCCAACTTTTTGAGAAAGCACCATACTGCCTTCCAGAATGGTTGCACCGTAGATTTTTTTTTTTAAATCTTCCAAGTACATACAAATCCACTTCAGAGATACTGGGGTTTGCTCCCTGACCACCACAATAAAGCAGGTCACGTGAGGTTTTTTGGTTACTCAGTGGATATAAACCTGATGCTGACACTCTCTGTGGCCTGTTAAGTGTACAGCAGCATTATGGGGAACTCAGAGTTGAAGTGAGTACACGCTGCTGGGATAATGCACCCATGGAGTTGTCACAAACCTTCGGAGTGGGGGAGAAAAAAGCACTATTGTGAGGCTCAGTAGAAGTGGCAATAAAGTGAGGTCTGCCGGAAATAAAAAGGGCCAAGATTGGAGTTTCCTCTGGTCTAACATGGAACCAGGAAGGGTAGCTTAGGATTGTTGGGACAGGTTCATGTTATCAAATTCTGTTGCATGTCTGAAAACCAGGTTCCCGGTCTCCAAGCTGAACAGCGCTCCTGCTCGGCTGGGCTCTTCCTGCAGCCAGGTTGCGAGCACTTAGAGGTCTTTAACTGGAGTGGCAGCCACG